ACCTCTCCGTCCAGCTTATCGACGATCTTGCCCAAGGCGACCAGTTGAACCCGGCTCAGGTAGCCGAACGCCCCCCCAGACGCATCGTCGTTGGCCCGGATGAAGTCCTTGGAAGCGGGTGTTTGCCACAGAGGAGCGGCATCGGAGGTCGCCCTGGGAGCCTTGGGGATTAGGGCCAGATAGGGCTTGCTTTCGGAGTACAGCTGCGGCCAGTTGAGGGGATCCTCGATGCCAAATCTTCCATCGGGCCGAAGAATAATGTCCACACGGCCAACAACCAGCTGAGGTACCCACAGCTTGTTCAGAGCGACCACGACGTGAGTCCCACTGTCGGTGTTCGCATGGGCGCGACCGCGAGCCCAGGAGAAGTTTCGCCCCTCAGTCTGATAATCTACTAAATTAATCACTCAGGGCGATTCGAGACATCAACAGCGGAAGCATCACGTACCTTGAAGTGTCGTAGACGACGTAGCAGGAACCATGTAAGGTGGAAGGGCAGGTGGCGTGGGAGCGAGGGAAGCTATCGTTCGCGAGGTCCCCGGACGAGATTGGCGGTCAGCGGCCGGCGCCGTTTCGCGCTGTGTCGTCCGCTTGAACGACAAGTTCTTGCGTCCGAGAGGCTGCTCCTCAGTTGCTGAAATTCGTGCGCTCGCCGCGTCAGTTGAGTCCGCCATCGCCACGTCGAGAGACGGCAAGGTCGTGGGTTGGGCTGGAGCAAGCGCATGAGGCCCGTCGGGTGCTTGGCCCGGTCGCGCTGGTAGGCAAAAGGGCTCGATGGCGCGCCGATCCCAGGGTGCCGGCGCGCGCACACGACCCGCCTCGACTGCTTTGCGCTGGCGCCAAAGGTGCTCGAGGTGAGCGTTGGCGTAGTAGCCCCACTCCATGAACGCCTCTTCTCCGGCACCGTATCGTGGGGGGCGCGGCACGCCCCGATATGCACTATCGATGTCCCGCTTGAGTAAACGCTGCGCCATTCGAGCGTTGCGGACGCAGCGGCTCCATTCTGTTTCTGCCTTGGGCGGAGGCTGTTTCTTCCGGGCTTCGTATTTGCGACGGACCTTATCCCGATGGGCCAAATAATTGCGACGCTCTCCTTGTGTCATGCGTTCGAGGTCAGTGCTAGAGACGTGCCCGTCGTCCTCTTCGTCCTCGAAATCCTCGTCTGACTCTGGGTACACGACCTCCAGCCGCGGGGCAGGCCTGGGATTTTGCTGTTCGTCGTCAACGTCCATGGCGGTCGGGCTGACCACAGCGGCAGGCTGTGCGTGACACGCAGCAGGCGCCTCCACTTGGTCATCATCCGGGCGAGGTCTTTTCTTGAAATGAAGGCCACTGAGTTTTGACGGGCCTGGTCGAGGAGGAGACGAACTTTGCAAGTGACGTGAGGAGGACATTGGCCAAAGGTAGGTAGCAGATCTTGAATCCAGAGTCTTGAGTACGGGTTGGTGGACAGCAAACGTGCAGCCAAGCAGAGGTGGCCAAAGGTGACGAACCTCTCGAAACTGATGCCGAGGGAGGATAGACGGACTTGTGTGCTCAGTCTTGAGCCCGAAGGTCCAGTGGAAGGTGAGACGCGTTGGTAGACAGCGAAAGCGCAGCTACCAGGCGGAGGTGGTCACAAGGGACTAACCTCAAGTTGCGATCCGGAGACGGAGGCCCTGGATCGTTGCGTTAGTTGTCAACAACCATGAGGAGCGGCAGTACCTACTGTCGCGAGGATAGAACGTCTTGTAGCCTGAACCTTGAGTCCAAAGGTCCAGTAGAAGGTGCAACGCGTTGGTAGACAGCGAAAGCGCAGCTACCAAGCAGAGGTGGCCACAAGGGGCTAACCTCGAGTTGGGATCCGGAGACAGAGGCCCTGAATCATTCCAATAGTTGTCAATGACCATGAACAGCGAGATTACTTACCGCCGTTGTTGACGCTGTTGCGGTGAAGGATGAGGAGGAAAGGGAGAGCAAGTGAGGGGCTGTGTTGAAGGGTGGACGGGGAAGTAGGAACGCGCAGTAAGGCCAACAACAAAGGTCACGTGGTCACCTTCGGGCTACAGCTACGCGCTCCATTTCTTAAGTCTCTCAACACAACCGACAGCGCGTCCCTAGCCTCCTGTCTCCTCAGACCGAGGCTCTTCCTTCATTTCCGGTCTATTCAGACACGAAATGAGGAGCGCGCAATACTTTCGATCTCCCGGTCGTCTCTCAATGCTCCCGCCAACGGCGCATCCACGGTCTCCGACAGCGCGATCCTGGCCTCCTGTCTCCTCAGACCGAGGCTCTTTCTCCATTTCTAGTCTATTCAGACACGAAATGAGGAGCGCGCAATACTTTCAATCCTCCGGACGTCTCTCAATGCTCCCGCCAACGGCGCATCCGCGGTCTCTGACAGCGCGATCCTGGCCTCCTGTCTCATCAGACCGAGGCTCTTTTTCCACTTCTGGTCTATTCAGACACGAAGTGCGATACTTTCGATCCTTCAGACGTCTCTCAACGCTCCCGCCAACGGCGCATTTACGGTCTCTTTCCCTTTTGCCGGAGGGTTTCCCTTCCAAACTCAGTACACTCCCATTGGGTAGCACGCAAGTCCATTTCGATTCGCTTATGCTGTGTCAAGCTACTGTGCAAAGACCAGA